GGAATTTTTCAACTTAAAATTCCGGCCGCAAATATCAAACGAATTTCATATTCATTTCCATCAATTCCAGATGTGCCTCTATTATTGTAATTTGGTCCGAGTGCTTAGGTTTTTGACTTAAAAACAATTTACAGGAGAATCGTTTGTTAGTTGAAACATCCGTTTTGTGCTTACCAGCCAATAAATGAAGTAACCCACTACTAAATTTAGGCGGGAAGCCATTCGCATTGATAATCTTTCCATTACCCAAAGTGAGCGGACCGCGAGCTCACAAACTGGCCAATCAGCGCGCGAGGATTTACCGAAATTAACTCCTACTTTAAATCATGAACCAATCAGATTTCGCGTCATACATCTCATGGTGCGTTCTTTTTGGAACAGACAAAAACGCTTCTAGTCAACAAGTCTCTATTTTGATTTTGGCGTAAATCTCGTTATAACTTCGAATATTTCGCTTTTTTAAAGCAAATTTTGACGTTCCTCGTTTTCTTTCAAAGAAAGGTTTATTTAAAATTTGACGGAGTTTATGAAATAATTAATTTCACGGATGATACTTACATAATTGTCGGAGGTGACTTTTTGTTCGGAATCTTAAGTTTGCACACAATTATCAAAAGTAAATTGTAGAATTCTGTCGAAATGTCAAGCCTGCGATTGTACACCATGCATTATGCGGCGAAATATATAACTGAAAAAAAATATTCAGGAAGGAAGAGAAATGGAGTTTTAATAATAAGCGATTTTAAAACACGAACCATCGCACCTTTTTTGAGAAGCTTTCAATTTCCTTATCGCGCAATTCGAAGATAGTGCTTATTTGCAGTTATTTGCAATGAGTTATCTCTTGGGAAAGAATAGGTTTTAGAACGAATATCGCAAATACTTCGTGCAATCTAACACGGAATCGTCTGGCGAGCGCGCTGGCGTAGCCAAAGAAATGTTTATGCGTTTCGTTTATCTCATAATAAAAACTGACTCTGAGAAAAATCAATCTTACTGCAAATTACTTATCACATTCTGAAGATATTTGAAAAAAGGCCTGATACCTTTGATGTAGCGATAAGAAAGCTCTAACACCGAGCTTGATGTTAAGCGAACGAAGAAATTAAACAAAACAATTGCAAACAAAATTGGGCATGCATGCTTAACTTAACTTAAAATCAGCCACATCGCTTTATTAAAACACGTTCTAAAATAAAATCGAAGCTTTGATGGCGTGAAACAGGCGAAAATCTTATTTCTTCTCATGAGCTTAAAAATTAAGCGTAGATGATATTGGACTGAGTTTTAGCTCAATAAACAAAAACTGAACAATAACAAATAAATTAAGAAAAGGCAAATTTCTGAGCGACTTCTCTCGCGTTACTTGAACGAAAATAACGCTTCTTGAAATTTGTTTTATTTAATTCCTGTTCTTTTGTGGACCTTTAATGCATGATGGAACCAGTGCAAACTTTAAAGCAATTTATAAAAGCCCTACAAATTTTCCAATGCTAAATTTAACACCACTATATGAATTAATACATACGTTTTCTGTCGTATTCTGTTTCAGTGTATCTATAAATCAGATATGTCAAATTAGATTAGGCAACGAGTTTGAGGGCTGTCGCATTAAATCAAGTCCAATTAGAGAACGATTCTAAAGCCGGTATGAATATTTGTCAGCCGTTTCGGTTATTTAAAAAAATACATATATATATCCCTTTAAGATTTTAATGCTTTTTCTGCATTGAATCAAAGTCATGGAAACATCTGGAAATAAATAAAAAAGATAACGAAAAGATTCTTCTTTAATTCTGACAAGTCCCACACACAAGCGAAATGATCTTGCGGAAATGATTTGGCAGACAGATTTTCATGGACTATGATAAATTCTACTCTAATCCAATTTCAAAGACATGTAAAGATGTTATTCTTTCAATCAGCACAAACTCCATGAATCGATAATCTGAATGTGCATATATAACCACTGTAAGAGATAACAGATTTACACCAAGTTCTTGCTGTAGTAATAATGGCTAAAAAAACTAACGCATATCAGTCACGTTTCTTTATAAGACATGTCCTTTTTCGAATACAGTTGAGTTCACCGTTTCCAGGTTGACTTAGAGCGATGATATCAATTTTCCTTTTCTTCTTATCAGTTCATTGGAGAAAATGCAAAACTTGATTTACCAACTTTTAGGAGTCAGTGAAGATCACCGTTACTTGGTTGACGCAGAAAGATGTTATCAATAGTTTTTAATTTTCATCAGAGAAAATGCAAAAAATCTGATGAACTGATAACTAGGCTACATTATGAGGTGATTTGATGGAACACCAACAACTATATCCTCTGAAGGAAAGTGTTTAAAATAGTCTGGATCTTAGTAAAGATTCAAACCAGAGATAATTACGTTTTTAGACTGATATTTTCGCAAAAATTGTATAAACTGTTTCGATAATCAATGTAGAAAAGCGGTCAGTTTGAAAGACGGTAGATTTCAAACTTGGTCGTCGATTTAAGATTAAACACGCACGTTTAAACATCCGAAGGCTTTCCTACTCTTTTTTTTCACGGTTTTAGTACTTTTAAATCTTCATACAACCATGGCCAGCTACTCTATTAATAACGTTTAAAGGGCGACTACTCTATGTTTTAATACAAAAAAAAGTCAGTTTGAAATACGAATTTTGGAATGGAAATAGCATATAGATTTGTAAGAGGCACGTCAAATGTTCAAGTTTAGTGGACACGAGCTGTTTATCCCCTCCAAAAGGCCAAAAATTTAACATTTATTAACTTCTCCTTCTTCCCAGCCATCTGTTTTTTGAAAGCATTGAAGGCAATCAACACATCATCATCGCTAGAAAACACCAAACTGAACTTTCCACAGATAATTAAATTATATCTCCTGGGAAGATAAAGGAATGAAGTTCCGACAAATATTGATCGAATGTAATCATTGTTACAGAATTATTAGGCTTTGTTTTAAATAATCCCCACGACGAAAGAAAAATCGTGGAGACTGCTGACAATGAAGTGCGGCACGAGAGGAAAATAACAGAAAACAACGGAAAAAATACGCAGCAAGTTGGCGGAAAGAACAGTAATTGGTAATGAACGGTTTTACTCGTAGCGAAATCCTAAATACATTAAGAGAAAAATAAAAAGCCTTTAATGAGAGATAGTTTCGACGAATAATTCTAAAAATGAATTTGTATTTTGATTTTCTAAGAAGTTAACCCCTTATTACCGCAAGTGAGCCCCGAGCACGATTCAGTGTTCTTTCTGTATTGTGAGATTTGAAGAATTATGTTTTTTTCGTCTTCTCTCGAGCGTGTGACAGAGAGGAAAATTCTGAGCTCCCACGAGCAAATGCACCCCAGACCCTCAGATACCGCGCTCCGATGCTCTAGCACTGAACTTCAAAGAACTCTATAGTAAGCAATGCTATTACACACGTCATTGACACACGTTCTTCATGGCAACTCTGTTGAAGAGTTTCCCGTTTGAAAGACGGTAAATAAAGGACTTGGTGGTCGTGAGGAAAAGTTAAAAAATTTCTCACGAGCGCAAGAAATCTATGCTGTAGTGCGTTCCGACAATCAAATATTTAAGACCCTTAAAAATATAAATTCCACCAACTTTTAACGAAAGACGCAGAGAAAATGAAAAAGAAAATACGAAAATTATGAGATAACAAATTTCTCGCGATTAGCTCTTCCATCACGCGAAATTGCTAATCATATTTAAGCAAAATCCTTATTTTAGGTGAGTTATTCGGTAGAAACGTTTCTAGATGTTGCGCCGGAAATATTTACGTTATCGCGTCATTCCAAACGCCACCACCAATGTTCAATTTTTGTTCCTATACGAAAAAAAATATATTAAAGAAAAAACCTTCATTTTTCATCCTACGCAAGCAGGAAGGAAAGGTGAAAACAAAATTTCAAAAGCTTTGAGAAATGTGACAAATAAGCGAATAAGCATATGTAGTTTTACACGTCGTCGGAAGCTAAGGTCTTACGAGATAAAAATTTATTTAATTGCGATAGACTCGTGAAAAGTAAACAGAGGAAACGACCCTAATGAGTTTCCGTTAATAATCTCTGCGTGCCTTCTATTCTTCTGTTTCACTTGATGTGTCCTCTGAGATAAATTCATATTCAATTATCTTCAATTGATGTTGCTGTAAAATTTATTCGTGATTTCTTTATAACAAAAAGAACGACAAAGCTGTCATGATCGCATGCACGTGCGTGGTGTGTGAACAACGCACGTGATAATAAGCTTTTCTTTTCGCACGTAGGACATTTCAACGTTCAAAATACCTTTCCAACTATTAGTCAACCTTTAACCCCTGTTCCCTTAAAAATTTTGGAAATTTTGTTCCTTTGCAAATAAATATTGCTTGTATGACTAATCTAGCAATGAACATTTGAACTCTGGGACTTAGACACACGAAAAGTGCTGGATCTTTGCATACATCATGAAATTTTACTAATTTTCAAATTAATTACTTAAAGTACCATGTTGAAAGATCTCTGTTCAAATAAAATAAATTTTAATGTTGGAATAAAGACTCTTCCATTTTAAGAAGCTCTGATAATATTTCTGAACATGTAAAACCTTTTTATTATGAGCAATAATTTAAATAGCAGACTACTATCTCAGTAATCCTTGTCGTAGTCTTCTACAATAAAGATTTTATTGTTTAACAAATATATTCCGTTTTTTAGTATCTGATAAGTAATATATCACAGATGACATTGAAATGAGTTGTGAGAGAAAAAAAATGGCTGATGTTCTGACAACATTTTGATGTGTTCTGTCATCTTTTACTGTCCAAAATGTGTGTATAATTCAGCTTATCATGTGAAATAAAGACTCTTCCATTTTAAGAACCTCTAAGGATATTTCTGAACATGTAAAACCATTTTACTATGAGTAATAATTTGAATAGTTGACTACTATCTCAATAATCCTTGTCAAAGTCTTCTACAATGAAGATTTCATTGTTTAACAAATATATTATGCTTTTTAGTATCTGTAAATATATCACAGATGACATCAAAATGTGTTGAATGAAAAAACAAAATGGTTGATGCTCTGACAATATTTTGATGTGTTCTGTTATCTTTTACTATCCAGAGCCACAGCAATGTGGAATCTATTTGTTTCATATGACAAATAGTAAAATGTTGTTAATAGTGACATCATCCATGCGTCTGTCCTCCAATAGATTATGCGTAAGAACCAAAATGCGTATATAATTTAGCTTATAAAGAGCAATAACCAATGAAATACTAAAATTATCCACACCAGACATAATGGCTTCTTTAAAAACCATATGAGGCAGACAATACTCTTAGTTGATCCCAGAAGAGTAAACTCAAGATTGTGTGTGGACCAATTCTGAAATAATGTGGTCCAAAACCCTTATATAACCCTAAAATACCTTCTTGTTTGAATACTTTGATGAAGCAGTCTGCAAATCCATTATATAACAGTCCCTTACCACTTGCACTGGTGCCTTGGTTGTAAAGGCGTGTACTTACCACATCAAAAGGTGTCATAAATGTAACCACTGCAATACTGCTTATCATGCTGGCAGAAGCTGGGATAAGCCAGCTCCTTGCTGGAAAGAAATTTGTTTGCAAAATTCTTTCCTTGGTGGTTGAAAAAGTTGATAACTGAACCGCAGATCCAACCATTACACGGGCAAGAGCACCACTGACCCCTCGCCAAAGTCCTTTAATGCCAAACTGCTGGTAAATACCAGATATTGCTTGGAGAAAGCCAGTGTGTCTATGCTGAAATCCAACTGCTATTGTGTCTGTAGCTTGAGATTGCAGTTGTGTCTTTACCTTACATAATTTAAAAGCATAACACACATCACATCAGCAGCCAGGTAAAGCCACCTATTCCAGAAAAATTCTTACAAGTATATGGCCATTGCCTTGATCCCCATTAAATTACAGTTTATTTCAGGGGTGATTTGTGATTCATGAAATGAATTTGACACTTTGACCCTAAAAGTGACACATTAACCCCTTAACTCCCAAGATCTGATTGTTAATTCCCCTCTCTAGCTGCTACACTTTTCCCTGTGAATAAGTTATGAGAACTTGGTGCTAGATCAAGATAGCAGCTTCTACCTGATATGTTTGAATATTCTCATTACCTGTTTGCTGAATAATGTATGGATATTGTAGGGAGAAGTTTTATGTTAATCACTTCTGGGAGTTAAAGGGTTAAGGCCATGGGAATAATCACTAAGTAAAGCAGCTCTTGATTATTTAACAAATTCTCCTTGTTAACACCTGAGGAAATGTGTGGTGAACAGTATGGAGAATATGCATTCTGATAGTAAGGTGTTAAGGGTGAAGACACAAATAGAGCAAAATTTAAGGTGCAAGTTTTTAATGGCTGATGAGGAAAACCAAGAGTGGAGACAAATAAATAAAGGAGGTAAGTTTCTGAAGAAACTGTGGTGCTGTCTTGGTGGGTGGGGAGAGAGATTACAAGATAATTTGATTTTATCCACTGAGTTGATAGCGTAAATTGGTCACCGTAAAAGCTTCTTAAGCTGACATGTTGAGCGTTACCCCTTGGTCAGAGCGTCTGAACATTCAACAGATTTGGAACTTGTGTGACAGTCACGCTACGTGATAATGATTTGTCCTTTCCAAAATTCTTGATCAATGTTGAACGTAGCGTGATACATCATGAAATCTAAAAGCTTACGTATACAGAGTATCTTTTTACAGCTAAGTACTTACCATGTATGCCGGACTCGCTAAAAAAGCTCCTGTAGCCCCCGAAATGCCACCGGCAACTAGGCAACGCCAAAACACAATTTCACCTTCGCTGCCGGCAGTCAGTTTTAAGTTTGTAAAGACCTGATAAGAACCGAGCCGGCAGCCGTTCATCACAGCTTGGTAAACTAGAGCAGGAACAAGTCCGCTCTGCAACGATCTGAGGCCGTCGTATCGACCGATCGTGTAAAACGCGTGGAAAGCATTCTTGTAATGGACCGCGTACGTTCCCCGCGCCTTCAGTTCTCCTTGAAGTTGCATCCGTGTTTTGGCAACTTCGAGAGGATTTGTGAACAGGCAAGCGCCACTGGCAGCTGTAGCACCTAACCCAAATTCTTTTAACTGTTGTTGCATTTTTGAGCAATGTGGTGGAGGTAGAACTAATCTTGTTTGCGCAAAACTTGATCTTTCACGTCCCGGGTTTTACGGCTTTTGGGATCAGCGGTGAAACGCAGAAGCATAGATTTTACGTTCTCTGTCAGTGGTCATTTTTTAAACAACCAATCAAAGTGCTTGTTTTATCGATTTAGTGCACCATGCTTGATTCTTCGAGTACATCTATAACGGTGAAATATGTTGCGTATCTCTCGTCAAATTTTACAAATCCAGAACGTATCCAAGACATGTGTGAGGACTATGGCAAAGAAAAGAGAATACACGAAGAAAACTATGAGGAAAATGAGAGAGGAAGGGTGGGTTTTTGACGATAAAGGACAGCCTAAAAAGAGACTTACAGATATTAAAATCCCTTCTAGATTGAATGTTATTCTGTTGGATGAGCACGAGAAGCTTGGAAATGCAGGACAAATGATTTCTGTGAAAGCTGGATACGCCAGGAATGTTCTGGTACCTGAAGGAATCGCTATCTATGCAACGGAGGAAAACAAGAAACGATTTCTTAGCTTTGATGCTGTGGACGACAGCCCTGAAACGCCTGTGTGTCCGAGATTTTTAAAGTTTCTGCAAAGTACTCAATTGAAAATTCAACGAAAGGAGGGGAGCGAATTTTTCGAGGTGAATGAGCATCATATAGCTTTGGAATACGAATCACAGTTTGAGCTGTTCGTGCCAGTACACTGTGTAAAACTAGAAGAGCCCATAACAACATTTGGAGACTTTGAGGTCAATATTGCAGTCAGGGATAATGTTCTAGTGCCTATGAAAATTACCGTGGAACAATGGAGCCCTGATTTGCCAGACTGGGTTGAAGCAGCCTTGAAAACTGAGAGTGATGAAGAGGAGAAAGTGCAAGCTAAAGGCGACTGACATTTGGGAAACACAAAAGGGAAACACTTTGAATTATGAAGCTTGAACACCCCCCCCCCCATGGGCATTTGACACTTAAGGCCCTCCTGGGGTGGGGAATTTGAACCTTGGCTGTGTGGGGGGTGGTATTCAAGTTTGATATGGAGAAACTAAAATAATTGGTTTAGTAACAGAATGGTTTAGAAAGACAATTGTTTCCATTGAGAATGATTCTTATTGGCCAAAAACCCAACAGCAGCATTAAAACCACCATGTAATGTTGATAAATTCTACCACATTTGTTGATCACAAATAATCCCTCATTAAAAAATTGTGGTGGAGTAGGGCATTTAAATGCAATTTTGGTCCAAGAGGAAAGGAGAGAGGGATGTTGAAGTTTAGAATTGATTGATGCACTCTCATGGGCTTTTGACTTTTTAGACACAATGCAAAGAAAGGTGCTGGGCTAGTTGTCCAGATTCAAATTTTGGACATGAGCCAGAAGCTACAACAAGTAGAGGCTTATACCTGAACCACTCCACACATAATATGAATTAACCCTTTCACCTTACATGGAGAATGTGTCTACCAATCAAGAGCTTCTTGTGTTGGGCATCATTTCCCTTAATCTCTAATTCAACAGTGAAAATTTAACAAAAAAGCTTTTCTAAGGGTTATATTGTTAATAAAGAATGCAAAGTATGTGATTTCAATTTGTATTCTGTAGGGTGTTCCTTTTTTTGAATAAGTTCCTACAAGAAAATGTTCTTAACCCTTTACACCCCAACATCAGTATGCATATTCTCCATACTGTCCTCTATACGTTCCTAAGGTGCAGACAAGGAGAATTTGTTTTTATACGTATAACATAAGAGGAAGTTTGAAGGGTACACGATATCTCAAATCTGACAGTTATGCCGATGATTTTGCAACTCTTCAAAGCAATATGAGGCTTCCAGGTTAAATTCTCGTCAGTTAGCACTCCTAACTGGACTGACTCTCCTCAGCAAGGTTATGAAAATCCTGTGTTTATCTGGCCTCCCAAGGAGGAAAGATGAGACTTATCTGCCACCTCTTGTTTTCATTTTGCTGTGGCAAAAGTAAAATTAAGGGGTAGAAACTCTACTATGAGCAGGATGAAATAACAAAATTGAAAATTTTGATTTTTTTTTTGAATGAGAAGTGGGGAAAAACGAAAACTAAAAAGAGACAAGAAAGAGGAGACTAAAAATTTAAAAAAAAAAAGAAGAATCTTTCAAGTCTTGGTACATTATATTTACCATACATGACCCAACTACTGAGATTGAGGCTGAAATCTGATTGGCCCAGTGTAGCAAAAATGGCGGAAATTCTAAAATGGCTGAAATTCTAAAATGGCTGAACGTAAAGGCATGTCACTTTGAAAACAAACAAGATAGGCGAACAAATATGGTTTCAAACTTAAATGGGGATTAGTTCAGTTAGATGATAATTTCAGTGGAGAAAATGAGTCGTAAAGTCATTTCTCCAACGATGCGATCGAGTTCGAATTCATCGCCACAACACACTTTTGAGGTGATGCAGCGTCGGTTACAAATGGCTGAAGAAGAGACGAAAAAGTTAGTGGATCAACTGGCCGATTACGGTTTTAGCAGAGATCGCCCCGAGAATGATGAAAATGGTAAAAGTGGGAGGATTAATCCCGTTCAACCATTCAAAGCCACGGGATCGATCTCCCCAGAAACAGAAATTCTTCAACGAAATTATGAACAAATGGTTTCAAGAGTTTGTCGCGCTGAAAGTACAATTCAATCATTAAAACTTGCAATGTGTAGTCTTGAGGCTGAAAAGAATCTTGCCATGATAGATAAGGAGCCAGATATGGCGCCTCTTCCTAAAGATACGTACGAGAATGAGATTAAAAAACTTCGAAAGGACTTGCATCGGTACAAAAAAGAATTGGAGACTTGTGAGAAAGAGAAAAAGGAAAGCCAGACTGTGGTGAAGCGACTTGCTTCGGAGCTGGACACATCTACTCAAATTAACGAACAGAATAGATTGAAAATGGAAGAACTCAAGCTAAATAAACAAAAATCAATCAAGAAAATTAACGAGGTAGGTAAAGACCTCAACGATGCCTCTTTGATTTTTTGGTGATATTTGCCGATTCCAAGGCGGCAAAAGAACTTAGCAAGCTTTAATTTGAACTATTCTTGTGGGCCTGTAAATGTTCAATGCTATGCTTTTTTCCATGCAGTTTTTTAGTAGTCAGCCATGATGACAGTATTTCCAGCTCCACTTTTAACCTTAATCCCTAAGATCTGATGGTTAATTCTCCCCTTTAGCTGTTAGACATTTCCTTGTAAATGACTTTACTTTTTTACAATTTAATGACAAGAGAGACTAAGAAACATAAAAAATGTCATAAGGATGATCAGCAAAAGGGTCACAGACCCCATACAAGATTGACCACCTTAAACTTAAGAAAAAAGAAAAAAAAATTGGAAAAGGGAATTATGGATATAAAAAAGTAAAACTGATAATCGGCATATAAAAATGTATAGAAATATTCAAGAGATTATCAAGCAGCCAAGAAATCAGCTACATGTACTCCCTTCTTAGAACTGAAAAATACTTGGAGCACAACAAAATTAGTTACAAGAATTTGATGTATGATCAAGATAACTTCTACCTGATAGGTTAGAGTATTCTCATTAACTGTTAGCTGGATAATTTGGGAATATCATAGAGAGAAGTTACATGTTAATCTCTTCTGGGAATTGAAGGGCTAAACAGCTGGAGTTGAAGCATGCAAGTCAACATAAAATAATTTTTTCTCCCTCTCTCCCTTAGCTTACAGACGAATTAAACAGAGAAAAAGATCTTCGATCAAGTCTTGAAGAATCGCATCTCTCTCTTCTTCAAAGAGTATCAGATATGGAAAAGATTGTAGAGTCTGGACGCGGGGATGTTCAGACATTAGCGCAGGACTGCCAAACACTGAGGAGAGAGGCTGTGTCAGCCAGGGAAGAGTTGGAGAAGGTACAGCAAGCTAAAGGGCAACTGGAAGTCCTTGTCACTCAACTTCAGGAAGATACAGGTGTAGTATATCCAACTAGATCAACAATGAAATTTTCATCAGCTTGCATTACAAAGCACTGGAGAATTTTCTGTTTCATTGGCAGATTTTTACATTATGTAATTCTCTGATTCATTGATTAAAAAATGAGAAAAGGGTTACAAAACGGTATTCAGCACTTGAATCAATTAGCTTATTCAGCCAGAGCTTATCGCAGTTTCCACTATAATAGCATGAAGCAACAAGGAGTATTACAACTCCTCCCTGGATGGGATGCAAGTCCATCCCAAGGTTACCCCCAGCATTTCATCAGGCTTCCCTGACAGTTAGCCACTATCCTTTTGTACTCATGATGGAGAGAGAGTCACTGTGAGAGAGAAGTGTTTTGCTCAAAAACATGACACAATGACTTGGCAAGATCTTGAGCTTGGACCTCTCAATCTGAAGTCCAGCGCACTGACTGCAGGGCTGTCAGGTTACTCACTACTAAACAATATTGCTGAATAATTTGATATCATATTATATCAGTATACTGGTTTTCTAACTATTCATAATTTTGTCTTCTTATTTTACAGTAAACTCTGATTCTCAACTAGCTACTCTCACAGTGGAGAGAAAGGTTTGTCTCACTTTACCAAATACCAATTTCTCAGAACTAGCAATAACCCTTTCACTCCCAAGATCTAATTAGTAATTCTCCTTACTATCTGCCTTACAATTCTTATGATGTTAGTTTGGAGAATTTGGTATTGGATCAACTAAGAATCCCATAATTGATATTCTTTTCTGTTCTCATCACCTACTTGCTTGATATTGTATTGATATTGTAAGGAGAAATTCTGTCACTTGTGGGAGTGAAAGGGTTAAAAGAAGTGTTTAGCTGAGAGTAAGGAGAATTAATAATAAGTGAATGGGTGGATGGATAATTAAGTGATAATTACTGTAGTTATTCGGTTATAAGGCGCACTCGGCTATAGGATGCACCCCCAATTCGGCAACTTCATTATTGCATGTTTTCAAACTGAAAATATCGCTAAAATACTTGGTTATAAGGCGCACCGTTGTTTGGGGAGTAAAGATCAGTCAAGTTTATTGTAAATTCTTTCATAAACTTACAAAAAAGCGAAAAAGTGGTATATTGATTTTAATTTACCATTAATTAACAAAAGCAGAATTGTCGCACACGTAACCACGCACACAAACAAAAAAATTACTGAGCACTTGTCATATCTATGCAAATTTGACTTCGCTCGTCTTTTCAGAACCACCATATTTATAAAAGTCAATGACCAACACTGTCTCCTTTTATTTGCTTGAAATCGTACCAGTAACTGTGATAAAAAAAATTGTTTCGAGAAAATATTTGCCTATAAGACGCACCCAAACTTTGACGGTAATTTTTAGTAGAAATTAGGAATTTCTTGAAAAAAACGGTGCGCCCTATAACCGAATAACTACGGTATATATTCAGACATGTCAATCGAAGATCTGTTTTGCTCCTATAGACTTTAAATGCAGATGTAACAAAATTCAGGAATGAGAACAAGGAACTGAGACAACAATTTGAAGTTCTTCGCAAGAGTTATGAAGATCTTAAGGTAAAAAGCTGGCTCTTGTAGAATCTGTAGATGTCATTCTCAATATCAACTTGCTTTTCAATGTGGAAAAATTTTGTTAATCAGCATATTGAAGTCAGTTATTGAAAGTAGTACTAAATTAAGCTCGTCTTTCTTTTCATTTAAATTTTAACCAGTTTTCTTGCGCTACAATTTCAGGGAGCTCATGAGAAAATTCTTATGGAACATTATAAAACCAGTGATACACTGAAGACAATGACTGCAGACAACAAAGTGCTTGTCTCACAACACCAGGGTGCTTTGCAACGAGAACGAGACCAGTGGAATAATCGAATGGCTGAACAGGAGAGAGAATTGGAGAGATACAGACATGAAATAGCACAAGAAGTGGCCAGAGAAAAAGAAAAACAAAATCACATGGAAAATGAAAGGTAAACATGAGTTGTCTGCAAGTATTGTGCTTACAATGTCACGTGTCTGTATTATAATATGTCATGCAATTGATAGGATTTGATTTTCCCTTTGATGCCTAAGATTGATTGGTTTGCAATTTCTCCTTACAGATCCTCTTTTAATCAAAGGTCATGAGAATAAAGGAAATGATCACAAATTCAAGAAGCTCCTGATTGTCAAACAAATTCTCCCTGTCAATACCATAGGAAATGTAAAGAGAACAGTGAGGAGAATGTGAATACTTATACTAGGATGAAAGGAGTTACAGTCCTGCATCTAAATGTATGAAATTTTTGTCATTCACCTTTTGTTAACCTTTACTTTTATCCAGATATACTCTTAAAGAAGAGATCAATAAGCTTCACAGGCAGCTGTTAGATGAGAGAGGGAAGACTGACAGACTGAAACAGGAATTTGTAAGTTTTTAACTGTAAAAAAAGAGCTATTAATTCTATATTTCTTTATTTTTTAGCTTAACCCTTTGTCGTCTTAGAGTGAGTAGCATCTAATTTTCCCCTACATATCGCCCCTGAATCCCACATTAGGGTCAGAAGAATAAAGGAAATGATCACCAACTAAAATGATTGTCAAATAAATTCTCC